CTAGGTCAGCCAGTTGGCATCTAGGCACAATATGTACTTTTGAATGCCACCCGCAATACCCAGAACAAAAAGCTATTTAAAGTCGGACTACTCTGGTCCTAGAGAGCTACGAACAAGATGTTTTTTGCGATTCGGCATCAGGAGCACGAATACGGCACGATATAGCGGCAGATGACTGAACGGATCTCTCCATTTGTTCCTGTCGTTGTTTGATGTCCAGATGCGTTTTTCTTCAATTTCATTTTAAATTCTCGAAAACGCTTTGATGAATCCGACCATCTTATCAATAATTTTCTTCTGTTACAAATTACTAGCATGATTGGAAGAAAAATAACTGCTTGAACCTGGGGAAAAAGCAGGAATTTCTCTGTGGTTTGAATTTACTTGCCAACGCTTTTAATGGCATTTAACAGCAATTAATTATAAAATATAAGTACTCGTAAGCATAAAGTATTTCCCTCGAATTAGTGCATTTCACAAAAAGTGTTGTGAAGAGTTACTATAAAATTTTGAGAATAATCCTTCTCTTATTTAATTTCATTTTGCCCTTTGACATTAGATAGAGAAAGCTACGATTATGCGAGGAAAAAGCGGATTGTTGCTGAGAGGGACTAAGTTGGATTTGAGCACCTTTTTACGACACAAAATAATACAGACATAGAGCAAATATGTAGCAGTTGGTTTTGTTCATTACACCAAAACGTGATCAATAGTTATGAATGATAACGTTTTGGTACAAGACTTGTACTTTAACCGCTCTCATAAACATCATAACTCATCTTTTCCTCAAATCTTCCACAGACTCAATCCCTTAGGCCCTTCGTTCGATAGAGAAATTTTTTCCGCAACGATGTAGCGAAAAAACTTTGATTTTACCTTTGAGATCTCCCTATGCTGACGGCTTACACTGCTTAAGTTTCGGTTGCACAGGTGATGCAGTGCAGACATCTTTATCTACGATTATTCACCATTTTCTATGTCCCCGCGCATTTCTCCATGTGACTTTCACAAGTCCCATATGACACTTCTTTAGGAGTAGCTTGGTGCATTAGCAGAAGTGAATATAGAGAAAGCCCATCTTCTACCAAAAAACGATATTGTTAGATGCGCTGTGGACTCTTTTCTAGCGCCCGCCGCAAAACTTGGATAAACGTCAGCAAATTTACAAAAGAGTTAACTCTATATCGCCTCCCGTAAGCGTTGTTCCAAATTTTTTTTATCCTTCAACAAGTGCAGATACAATTTTTCACACAGCCGCGCTGAACAAAATTACTCTAAGAAAAAGCTCGTGTAAGAAAATGTTTGGTGGCATTGTTCATTCGCATCTTGAAGCCACTATGCAGCATTCGACAATTGAAAAGGTGCTCCAAAGTCTGTGAAATTCTAAATATTATAGGGCAATCACTGTTCTTGATTGAGCTAGTAGTGATTGGGAGTTCGAACTGTAGCTTCGTGGTCTTTCCCATCCCAGCATTTTCACGACAAAGAACAATGACGTATTTCAATCATTAAACACTAAAAATTGATACTTAATAGTGCACAACTAGCCATATATCTAGAGCTAATGTAATCAGAATGTGGTGTGTACATCTTCCTATAGCAGTTTGGAGAAGGTCTGCCCAAATAGTCTTTGTGTTTTGTAACACAACTGCAGCAGAAAAAAGTTTGTGTGTGATAGCGACTGTCTAGATGACAGCTATTTATCACAGTCTTAGAGTAGAAGTTGGGATGTTAAATTAACAAATCCTCTTGCAGCGTGCAAAGAAGGATAAAGCTGAACTCTCCGAACGAAAAAGAAGAGCGAAGGAGGATAAGGGGTCGGATGCTTCCGAGCGGAAAAGACGAGAAAAAACAGATAAGGAGAAAGACAAGGATAAGGAACGAGATTCTACCCGCTCTGAGAGAAGAAAAAAGCATAATAGATCTGAGTTATCAGAAAGGCGTAAAGTATGTTATTGTAAGATTTTTCCATTTAAGTTTTATCCATCTCTTCTCAAATTTTTTTTATTCACAGAAGGAAAAAAAGAGGAAGAAGTCCGAGTCAATAGACAAGAAAGGATCATCAGCAGAAAAGACTGACACACAGGTAAATGAACTTCCTTTAAGAAAAGATCAAAAGCTGGCTGCATTATCTAGAGACGGAAGCATTATGCGCTCACAATAACAAAATCAAAAATATTTGAGTATTTAAGGATGACTATAAGCAACCATTGCAGCGACGTGTATGGTGCGACTATCAAAGGCTAAATTAGCTTTTGCGAAGCTTTATCAAAGATAATATAATATTCTGACCTTTTATGAAACGATGTTCAAACAGAAGGTACCTCGGAAGTGGTAATGTATACTTGGGGGTGCAATTCCACTTTTACGGCTCCTACACACTTCCAATTTCTCCTTAATTACTTGAACACGGCGCATTTGCCAAGTTCCACCACATCCACATCGACATGGAGCTGTATGCTTATTTTATAAATGTGTTATATGTAGGATTTTTGGAGTTATGGATTGACCACATGAAACGATAATTCAACATACCACACGAATAGAACGGAGATTTAAAAGTAAGACTGCCCAGCACATATTCATTGTCCGTCCACGCATTCAGTATAGCACTATAGAATCTTATCGATACGTTATTGAAAATTCATCGTACCATGCAACAGTTGGTCATATACTATTGTATGTGTAGGAAGTTAACTAAGATAGAAGTAAAGTGTAAATTATCTAACCCAAAGACAAGTACAGATCGACTAAAAGCCGTTTTGCCATGGTTCAGTTGCTGCGGATTGCGGTTGTTGCATGTTGCTTTACTTACATCTTATCTAGATGTATCTTAGTTCGATATTCCAGCCAGCTATACCAGCAACCTTACTTTATCATTGTAACACATTCCTCCAGAGAAATATAAAAGTAGAGTTGTATTAATTTCCAATCCTGTGCATTTGTAATGGTCAGAATGACAAATCATCTTACGTTGGGATTAAACGTCATGCAGGAATGTTGAGGCTCAATTGCATTTGGCGAATGCGTCTATCATGAGACCAATTACCATGCTTTCTTCCTCTCCTTAAAATTTTTTGATGTACGCTTAAACACTTAGCATTGTACAACGAAAGGTGTCTTGCATACTATCCTACTGAAAATCGTAGCTTGAATTCAGTTCCTTTATACTCCTTTCCGTACTGGTATTAGATTTTTAGGAAGATAAAAAGAAGACAAAGGATAAAGAATTAGTTTTGGACGCAACATTTGAAGAACGTTCTGAACGGAAAATGAAGAAACAACGTGAGCTAATGTACAATATGCAAGGACGTTGATATATTATCCCTTTTTTAGCAAGTATGCTGAAATTCAAAATGAAAAAGTTTAAGACCATTTTACAGAAGCAAGGTAGTCATTCTTGCACTAATCTGAAAGTATACCATGTAAGCTTGCATAAAACTCATCGTTTAAATTATTTTAGAACAAGGAAAGTACCAAGAAAAACCTGAAGGGAATACTAAAGTGGGTATTCTGAAAAACAAATTGTCATTAAGTAGCTTATTATCATAGCCTCGAGTGTATTCCTGGTATACTCTTAATTCTTTTAGGAGAACATTAAAAGGGGAACTTATATAGAATCTCGGAATAGCAAAAAACCATCAGAAGCTCAGATATCTGCTTTCAATTCATTCGTTAGGGTGCGCAAAGGAATACCGTATTTCGTTAGATCTCTGAAGTTTTTTTTTGAATTAGTCAACTTTTCAACTCAATATCTCAATATTTGTTCATCTGTGGTGGGTTGTAGTCACTCGTTTCTAACATGTGCTTCAATTTAGGAAGTATTTCAAGACGGAGTTGAAGGTCTGATAAAAGAATATGCTATTCTTAAGCCATATCTCTCCGCCAACTATGCGAGAGAAATCTTTGATCAGAACGTTGTTAAAAACAGATATAGAGGCATGTTTGGATAAGCTT